AATATATAGTGTAACTTTAAAGCTGTAGTTGAATCTTGTTAATAATTATTATAAAGGATCCTGAACTGTAATAAGCTTTTTAACATTGACTGACTCTTTTATCAGTGTTTCCCTAATAGTCACATTAAAAATGCCCTGTCCTGTTTTGAGTCTGAAGAAGAGCATGTAGCTCAAAATGTCACTGGTGGATAGCTCATTAAAACTGCATAAGGGAGCTACAGTGTGCGGCCCTATAATTTTCTTCCGTCTGGTTTTAGCTGAATAATATCTTCTTTTTTTTTCTGTGACTAACTTTTTAAAACAATTTTTACACCATTCACACAGAACTGCAGGAAAATATATTAATATAACAGACTGACATTTAAATACAGAATTAAATCTAGTGCCTGTATGAAATTAAATTATGTTTCCTCTTTCTTAGTTTCTTTCATTTAATTAGCTCTGGAATTCTTGTAAGCCATTGAGACAGTTCAGCCACACTAAACTGATGGTTAGTGAACAGAATGATGAACAGAAAAACAACAGCAATGAGGATGAGGACCATGTGCCAGGCAGTGATATTAACAACAGGGAGGATCATATTGGCCATCCATATTCAAGGAAGCAGGTCATCCGTCATGGGGATCCAAGTCAACGGGCACTACCAGATATTGCAGCACCACTCACATAAAACATTAGAAACTCAGCAGCTACCACTAGGCAGTGTTCTCAGATACTGAATGAGTTGCATGTGTATGTGTGAAAGAGACAGAGTGTTTTGACTTCTTCCATTGGCATAACGCGGGATGTGCTTAGACTCACAAATGCATTCCTCAGCACAGCCCACAGGGTCAAAAACAAACAGAAAGATTCAGGTAGCACCTGAATTTTCATTCGGCTTTCCTCATGTGTGGCTCATTTTCAAAAACACCTCCCTGGATTGTCATCACACACACATACACATACATATGCTGAATTTGTCAGGAGTTGCCTCTGAATTTCAATCAGTTTCTTATTTGCCAGCTGGTGGTGCTGTTGAATAAATTGTGAAATTCTTAACAACTTTGAAGGTCTTCACTTTCTATAGAGGCTGGATGATATTCATATCACATAAGAAAATGAAGGAAGTTATGAAATTATGCACATTGCATGCATAATTCACCTTGCAGAATTTGTATTTGGGAAATCAAATTATACAGCCTTCACATACAGTTTATTTGTTCCTATTACTGAAGGTTCCCTTTTAGACAACAGCATCATTCTGTGTCTTTGTGCTTCCTCACACCAGGCTGACGGTTACATGAACTGGTACCACATTCACTCATTCACTCACACACACACACACACACACACACTTGCATACACCACTCTCCAGCCAGGCTTGGTAGCAGAAGGGGCTTTGCCTTCGCCCTAATTGGCTGCGTAATCTGGGACACCAGGAGTAGAGTTAAGCCCTCTGAGGAGGAGAGGGATGAGGCCTGGGAAGATTGTGCATTACAGTGGGGGATGGGTCACAAGATTTTATTATTTTATTAAATTATTTTTGTTTTAATTTGAATTGTACTTGGTTTAAATTCACATTCCTACACACAAAAGGATGAAGTCAAGTACTACCCATTTTTGTGTAAGGTTGGCTGCCACCACATTTTTTTGCTGTTGTTTGTTTCTATTCAGGTCATAGAGGATGAAGAATTTTATGAAGAAAGAGAAAATTGTACAGGTCAAATGGAAGCTGTTACTCCTCCCCCTATTCCCCTGCTGTCTTGTCTATGTCCCCTGATGGCTACTTTCATTTTCCCTCGCTGTCTCATCTCTTGCTCTTCTTGTCTTCCTCCTCCAGTGCAGTGGGACTATACCAGGCAAGCAGTCAGATACTTGACAGAGTGAAACCTGCCTTATCAGTGAAGAGGTACCTGTCACTGGCTTCAATGAATATTCAAAGAGGTGCTACTCTGAAAGGGAACAGAGACTACATCTGTAATCATTCAGGGTATGCATTATGAATTACAAGAAAAGGCAGGTCGTAATATTAACTACTGCATTAAAGAAGTACTTCAACATTTTGGGAAATATCCTTATTGAGAAAACTGATTCCACCCTAAAGCTCATAAATGAAAACATTGTATCTTGCTTGCAATAACTTTGCTCTTTTAACTGGACCTTTTTTGCCAGTCTACTTCCTAGCCAGAACCAGTTGCCAGGCAACTAGCAAAGAGTCCAAGAAGTTACTGGTCAGGATCAAGAAAAAGTACAACATTCCCATAAAAAGAGTAATAATTGTCATTTTTACACTTTGATTTTTGTGTGACCTTAACAAACAAGAGATAATGTGTTCATTAATAAACTTAAGTGATTCTGGCTGCAAGATTTTGTTAACTTCTGACTACCTGGCTAGCTGTTCCCCTGTTTCCAGTATTTATGCTAAGCTAAGCTAACAGTTACTTAAGTTTCCTCACAGCTACATATTTACCATACAGACTTGAGAGTTATACGCCTACTGATTTGAACTCTAACAAATTTTCTGAAAAGTCAGACTGTAGAGTAGCCTTGTGCGTATTGTGTATTTAAATCAGTTTGACTCCACAACAGTTTAACTTGTAGTCTGATTTGCACAATCATTAGCAATGTAAAGAATTACATGTTGAAAAGAAAACACACTATACTTCATCAGCAAATTCAGCAGAATATAATTCCAGTTAAATCTCAATAGACAATTCTTTTACCTCATCTTAACGCCCAGTTTTGTCCCTGACACTGAATATTGATTTTTAAAACATTTAAACTGGGTCCAAACTAATAAAATCAGTCAGGGTCATCAGCCATTCATTGTGGTTCCCTCTTTGCTGTGAAAATCATAATTCAACAAGTCAAACTGAAATTATTTAAAGTGCTGTTTAAAAAGCTGGAGTTATCTTTGTTTTGAATTAAAGCTTCACCAACAGTGAATACCAGTGAAATCTCCAAACAGACGCTGCTAAGTGATTCATTGCACACATGATGTAGAAATGTGCTTGTTAACCAGTCATCAGAATGATTTATGTCAAGTTTTTCCTTTTCAAATTGAGAGATTCCAGCAGTGGTGCTAATCAGCCTTCTAATTTGTCTGTGACTCACTTCTCTTTCATCTGAATGTTAAAGGTTCATTGGTTAAACCAAGTCAAGGATGAGATATCATGCGGTTAAACTGGTTAAACATACTGTTTGAGTTTAATGCAGATATTGCAATGTCACACCAGCACCAAGACAAGTTAAGTATATTCACATTTTATCCAAATCATTATGGATATGCATACATTTTTGGGGTATAACGTATTAAAGACACAGTATAAAGCCACCAATGCACATATACTGCAGTTGACTGAAGCCAAGATTTCAAGGAAGTCACCTTGTAGCTATTGAAGTGATGTGTGGCCAAGATGGTGCCTGAATTTTGTTTGGCAGTACTTGAGATCAGGAGAGTTGAAGGGTTTACTGTGCACAAAGGGAAGACTATTATCAGGTGGTTTTAGCGGTCTTCAAAAAATTCTGGGGAAAAGCTGTTTTGACTGTTCTGAATGATTTTAGTGATGATTTGACTGTGAGGTAGAAGATTTGAGCTGGCGAGTGTGTTGTCAGCACACCATTTAAAGGCTGCACATGGAAAGAAAAATCACACCTTTTTTTAAATTAATTGTAGGACAAAATTACCTTTTCAAAAATATTTTAGTTACACATGTTTTGGAGTTAATTAAAGTGCACTGATTTTTCATTTCTATATAATGGTCTTCGCAAGGGTGATTTTATGTAATCATTCAAAAAAGTGCACTTGAAAGCAAAGTTTTGTACTTGGAATCTTATTTTTGTCAACAACATTTTTGTCAAAGGTTATTCAGCTATGTTCTAATTCTAACTAATTCCTGCCTGTAAACACTTTTTTTGAAAACTTTGTGAAGCAAAAAAAAAAAAAAAATCCGATGTCTGCCTTTGAAGTGAGGTTTTGCACACAAAGAATTTGCAAATAAGGATAGGAATGTAATTTTTGAAGCATAAGCTTAATTTTAGCTGCTACATCCAGTAACAGTGAGACACATTTCTATCTTTCTAATGGCTTTACAGAACCTAATTGTTTACTTAAGAACACTTCAGCATCTATCATAGAAATCTGTAGAAACCCTCAAACGGCCACTAGAGGTAAACTGGAAAACAGAATGCACAAAAGGGTAAATTAGAGTTTTCATGTACAAACTTAAATGTACAAGTTTACAAAACTAAGATCACAGGTACACAGCTCCATTATCAAGGATGTCTTTTTGAATAATATAGTGTTGTGTAGACTTGTGGGGGAGTTATTCATTTCTACCGGCAGGGGGCGACTTTGCCCATAAATGGCTGAACTCATCGGGACTGTGGAAGGTCCTATAGCATGAAACTGATGTGAACTCATTTTAGTGTTAAATTCCATCTCTGTGTGTAGTGTATTTTCAACAGAATGCTGTGTGCGTTGCTCATTATGCCTATAAATGGCGATGTGTTTATTTAATTACATGCTGAAACACAGCTGCAATAAACGAGTAATCAGATGTGTTCATTATATCACTGCTGCATCACAGACACAATAACGCTTGATTGTGATTTAGAGCAGCTACTGAATGGAATTGTGGGAATCCTCGTTATAGTGCAATTAATGATCTTTATCTCGACGTGGAGATAAATGGTTCAATTAGCTTTGAGGCTTTTCTTCATGCAGTCTTGTTATCGACCGCCCCCAGTGTTAAAATAATAATCAATAGTAATTCCTAATATAAATCTCAGCGCGTCAATAAACAGCTTAATTGATTTGTTATTATTGAGGTGTTATTATTGGCTTCGTGTTTTTTGGCGACTTTGTCGCGAGTTCTCTCTCTGTCTCGCGGTGACTTGGTCGAAAAAAGAGCGCACGCACGCACTCACCGGAGCGTCAGCCCCGTGCTCGTGCTTCTCACTTTGTCCTCGTTACTTGAAGTAAGCGCTGAGGGAACGAGAGAGAGAGAGAGAGAGAGAGAGAGAGAGAGAGAGAGAGAGAGAGAGAGAGAGAGAGAGAGAGAGAGGAAGGAGAACGAGCTAGGTGTCTCGTGCGGTTTTAACTGACACAAGGCGCGCGGAGGACTTTGCAATTAAAACCGTGCTTGTTTGTGTATATATTTTTGTCAAATTTACACAGAAGAATAAGAAAAAAATAGAAAAAAATAAGTGCCTGGAGAGAGAGAGAAGGGGGGGAGGAATAACCAAAACGCAACACGTATCCGGTGGGATCACTCCTGAGAGAGAGAAGCGGCAGGAGTTGGAGCGAGGGGTACAAGGAAAACGAGAGGGAGACAGAAGAAGAAGAGGGGGAAGAATTGACATTTCGCCCGTAACAACGCATTTCTAATTAATAAAGAGGAATAATGAGGAACATTTGGATAATTTTGACTCTCGGTCTGACCGTCGTCCTCTCCGGGGAAAGGGTAAGTTTTTTGGAAAGCAAACTTATAAAGCTACTGTAGCGGTGGTGGGGGAGAAAGGCAACTTGGGTCCACGTATGAGCCCACTCGCTGCTGTGTTTTTTTGAGGGGGCTGTTTGATTGAGAAAAACCTCTGAGCATTTACAGCTTTTCACGTGTGTTTGTCTCCATTTTGTGCAAAAAAAAAAAACGCTGCTGTAGTTTGATGGACTGAGCAGTGAAACGAGTAACAGTAGTTTGGAAGGTACATGTCTGAAACGTGGTTGTCCATTGAATCTTTGTGTTTGACAACCAAGCAGATAAGACAATGCTGCCACTTTGCACAAGACTTCTTCTACAACAATTTAAAAAAAAAAGTAATTTAAGACACTTAAATACACTTGGTATGCTCTCAAAGAGCCTGCAGAGGTCGATGTGCTTCTCTCACTACTTACCTATAGGCGTTCAGGCTTAGTTTTTATTTTTTGTGACATGGAACTATACTTTAAAGGGACATGCATAGCTAAAGTTCACTCAACATCTTTGTATTTGTAGCTTAAATGTCTCTTTGAATGTTAAGCTATGAATTATGAAAAATCACATGGAATAGGAATATCATAGACTTTATGACATCTGAGATGAAGGATATGATCAACAAAATGACTAAGTAGGGAGCACAGAGCAAATCTATAGGAGCATTATAGCTGTATTATGATGATTTGTTGTTAAGATGTTGATTCCTGTGACAGCTGCGCTGGTTCATGCATTATTGAGTAAATGCCATTGTTATTCGAGCAATCCAGCAAACTAGATAGATGAATCTTGCTTCATTTTTGTAGCAAGTGTTGAATGATTGGGACAAAAATGAATATGGCTCCCCTGAGCAATATCCCAGCTTTCATTCTCAATTATTCCTTTTCACTTTCTTATTATGAAGAGCAGCCTGATTTAAAACCCATACACTGTTGTTATTGTTCATCACTGCTGTTTCCCTTTATCCAGTTTCAGGTTCAAGTCAGTGTGGTGCCCTCTAACTGAGTGTGCGTCACCCTGCAAATTGGCCGGGTTGTTGGAATGACAGATTTTGGCACTTTCATGTGCAGCCCCTGTCATTATTGTCCCCTCCTGTTGTTTCTCTGTGGGTTGTGACTTGTCGCTTGGCGCAGTGCCTCCTCCTCTGTTAGAGCCGCTTGTCCAATTAGCTGATTCAGACACTGTTGTTTTAATGACTCATTGTTTTGCATGAGGTCACCCCGAGTGCATTTTTTTTAACATGTTTTATACTATCTTTTTTTTTTTAACACCTGGGCTGTGTATATGTACACAACACTTGAGCTCTGCAACAAACACAGAGTGGATACAATATTTCCCTACTACAATTTACAGCCTCACAAATACCCATAGTATTGAAAAAACTACTTTCTGTCACAGTAGCCACAACAGCTAAAAGTTTCCCAAAGGTAGCATTTCGGACAATATTATGTTGTACTGCAGTACAATGTACACAGTGATATGTTTCTTGTCACTTAAAGTATGACATCCCATGAGTTTCAACTTATTTTGGCAAAATGTGAAGTTGTTCATTATAGGATTATAAAAAGATTGGCATGCTTTACATGGGCCGTCCATAACCACACACACACACACACACACACACACACACTTCAACCTGATCAATATCTTCCTCCCCTTTATCTGTCCCCTGAAGGCCTCAGTGGAACCTAACATGTGACATTGATTCTCAATATTAGCGCTGGTGTTGACAAGCGGTTGATAACCTGCTTTAGGCACATCTGGCTGTGTTTTAATTACCCCATCACATCACAGGGGTACAGTATAATACTCAGTGGCTTTTGAAAAGGAATAGAAAAAACTGGCTGCTCCTGGCTTTGGAACATTTCATTACCAAGCTAGTGAAGTTTTTTTTTCTACATTTGTATTTTGGTTTGCTTCCCTGCTTACCACTCATGCTCTTTGTAATAGTGTTTTGTAAAATGCAAAGCACAGTGGATGCTGCTGCTGTGTTGTTATCACATCTCTCATTAGATGAGGTCAGCCTGGTGAACATGGAGCTGCTCTCTCCTGCAGCTCTTCTCTCAGACAGGTTTTGTAACGTTTTCCACCCCTCTGCTTCCAAGAACTTTTGCGATCGAGGAGGAAGACTTTGGCTCGGCTAAGCTAGGCTGTATAGGCTCAGCCCGCCCCGCCGTGTTTCGTTGCACGCCACTCACCAGATGTTGTGGTCTGTAATTTGTGTCATGTTTTGGTGGGAAGTGTGGGTGTTGTTCACCTCCCTTTACATCTGTGATTTACAGGGGGGTTCTGTGTGCTGTCTAGCACTCTGATGCTGGACTCAAAGGAATCACTTCAGAAAGGGGGGTGGGGGGATGGGGGGGGTGGGGGGCTCAATTTGGTATGAACTAAGGATCCAAGGACTATCCAAGGATGGCTGAGGAAAAACTGAGGAGTGTCACGGAAGAAGGAGGGAGAGGGAAATGGGAGGATACAAGACACAGAGGCTCAGAATTACATGGAATATCTCTGTTCAAGAAAGATTTCACATATCTGTTTATATTTTCCTCCCGTGCAATTGTTATGGACTGACCCCATACATGAGGATGATGCAGGGTGAAAGCTGTCTTAGTTGTTCCTCAAAAGGACAAGTGAGGTCAGATCGCTATGATAAACTGCCCTCAAATGGTCAAAAAGAAAAGACACGCTAAGCATATATTATTTCAGGGGTTAAAAGGCCAAAGTACCAAATACAAGACTTCAACGTGAGGCCTTTGATGGCTTTTGGAAGGAGGGGAAAAGGTGCAGGCTGTGTATTGTCAGGGATGTTATTATGTTGGTCCCACGGTGCTATTTGAGTTTCATTTTCTGGCTTGAATGCCAGTTTTGTATCTGCTGATTTGGTGGTAATGAAATGAACAGCACAGACGCACACACTGACCTTCATCTCAACTTGTCTTTTTCTAGGCAACTCACACTTCTTGCAAAACAAACACACACACACACACATACACAAACGTTTACACACATCATTCACTAGATGCATCAAGAATAAATAACGCACACTACTAATGATTATTGGATAGATTGATATGAAGGTCATATGTATCCTGAACGCCTAGTATTTTCCACTGCTCTTGGTGTTTTTTTAATCCTCTTGACACCTTCTCCAAGGCTACTGAACTGAATGCAACACTTGGCTGGTTTTGTTGCACAGCACTGAGCTTTCAGAGCCTGAATGAGGGGTGTACATTGGACATTTTGTCTCATTTCTCCAGTGATAAAAGCAATATGTTTCATCTTAAAACACCTATTTGCAATGAACTTCACAATGAATGAGTAAAATTCCCATCTGCAGTGCATGGACAAAATATTTTTCCTCTTTTCTATCACTCTTTATTCAAGAGAAGGACATATACAGGAAGAATGGGCAGCAAAGGATAATATGAAAGGATAAAAATGACCAAATTAAGATTGTTATAAAAGCATAAAAGGGTAATGATGGAGCAGAAAAAATTTAAACTATGTAGTGCCACACAGAAGCAGAGGTCATATGCTGTGCTGTGGCTACAGCTCTCTCCTGCTGTATATTTAATGATGCTCTTTTATTTTGCATTAACCTAGAATTCCTCAAACTGAGGACACAAGCAGCTCCCCTGCATGCAACCGCTTGTGGTGTGTCTGACTGTGAAAAACCTGCTGCTTTCTTTTTCTTTTATTTATTTATTTATTTTTTTCAACAAATCTGCCACGGACACACACATGGGAACACCAAGTTTCTTACTCTGCGGAGCAACCTACCTCTGCGCTAGTGTCCGGCCCTTCAGGGGGTGCATTCACTCTGTCCCTGTCTGTCTAGCATTATGCAATCACTAATGGACTCCACAGAAGGCAGGAGGCAGGGGCTGCTGGACCACTGAAAGCACAACAGCAACTGCCCCCCCCCCCCCCCCCCCCCCCCCTTCTTTTTTACCCTGAATCCATCTGTGTCCATGCATGAACTCTTGTTTTGTCACCACGCACGCAGGCACACGCATACAAGCAGATAAACACACATTAGCACTCATAGTCTCATGCCTCCCCCTCATTTTTTTTTCCCGTCCCTCTCTACATTGCTGCTCCTTTCTTGCCACATCTCTCTTTCAGCATGGTCAAGATGCTGCCTGCCATCACCACAGTGGATTAGGCTGAGAACAGCAACACAATATTTCCTCTCAGGCAACTGGAAGGAATGAAGGGAAAGGATATATTTTCCTTTTTTTTCACACAAGATGCACCCCATTTTTTTCCTTCCCCTTCCCTTAAGATGTGAGCGCTTTTCATTGAATTTGCTAACATCTGCAGGACGTATGTGTGTTTAAAAGAAGCAGCCTTCCTCCCCCCTTCCCTTTCCTCCTCCTCCTCCTCCTCCTCCTCCTCCTCCCTTTTGTTGACGAGTTAGAAGAGGCTCGTACTTTGGCAGGGACTTGTGCATACTACTAAAGACTCACAAATAGTCAAACTGTTGACTGTGCATGTGTTACCTTTTTTTTACGTCCCTGTGGGTATATGTGTGTGTGTGTACGACTTTATAGCCACATGTTTAAAATACACAGTCGTCCCAGCCACCGAGTCATAGGAAAAACACATTAGGGAGATGCGGCTGCAGCGAAACCAACGACAGCAGCACTGGTTTATGTTGGGCCACAGCCACCTTCTCTCGCAGACTTATCAGAGGCTGCGGCAGTAGACAGCAAAACCTGCATGTGCATGTGGCAATCTGGATGAAAATATTTAGACACAGTAGACCTGGAGCATTACTCTCTTTCTCTTTCTTCCTCTGTTCCCACCCTCTTTCTTCTCGTTTTTCTTCTATTTAATTAGCTTAGCAAATGGAAACTTCCTTGGCAGGACTGTGGTGGAGGGGATTGTGGTTGTGACAAAGAGAAATGGGGAAAACCCTGTGTCAGGACGTCTGTTTTCTTCCTTTCTTTCTCTCTCTTTTTTTTTTTAACTGCCTGCTGCCTTCCAGT